TTCTCCCTTTAAAAGAGAGGAAATTAGGGTTTTGTTAAATTTGGGTTTTGATGGGCTGCTTAATATTGGGCTGGGCTTATGGTTTGTTTTAGTAAATTTCATCCTCAGCTTTTTAATTTTTTTAATTTAGTCCTTTTCTTGTTTTTTTTCTTCAACTTCTCCCCCAAATTTTTCATAAAATTTTTTTATAACGATAAATCTGAAACGGTACGCGAAAAATTTCGGTATCTAATACGTACCGTTCCAGTAACAAAACCGGTACGTATGCCGGTATAGTATTGACTACTTTGGCAAAGATACTTTCTGATGACTGTGATGATGACAAGGGGATCTTTCCATCCATGTGATTGTCTTGATTGACAGATACTTTGCTTGATTTTCTGCGACCCCAAAAGAAAACGTTTCTTCTCTTATAAGCTCTGTGTAGGGTAATTGATTGCACCTTATATATAATGTCTCTCACCAAATTCAAATTCAATTCCTTCCTATTCTCCTATCCCCATAATGAAATTCTGTTAAAAAAAAAAAAAGAAAAAAAACGAAAACACTTCCTTTTATTTATCTTCTGGAAAACTTGTTTAAGAAGTTTGAAATTCAAACAACAGAATCCCAGTCATACTAGTTTCATTTCATATACTAAAAAAAAAGGTAAAGGTTAGTGGCCATGGAGGAGGCTAGAACGGAACTAGGTGTTGATCAAAAGAAGGAAGAAGAGAAATGGGTAACCCACTATTCATCCAAGCATCAAATTCTCTTTGTGGGCGAAGGAGATTTCTCTTTTTCTTTGAGTTTGGCCATTGCTTTTGGCTCTGGCTCCAACATTTGTGCTACTTCTCTCAACTCAGGAGGTACAAAGAGATACACCCAAATTGATTTTTAATAGGATTTAGAAGATGTGATTAAATTATTAGTGCATTAAGAAAAAAAAAATAATTTTAACCTTTAAGAATTATTTACGCTGTACTAGAAACTTGAAGTTGTCTTTTATTGTTCTTGGTGTCTCTAGTGATGTAATCAAGAAGAATTTTTAGATCTTTTCAATTTTTACAATTGTACAAGAGTATAACAACTTATTTATAATTTATACATTTTATTTTGTTTTTGCTAATTTGAATGATAATGTGTTTTATAGTTATGTTTTCTATTTAATGTTAAAATATTTTTACATTGTCTTATATATTTAATAATGTTAAAAACCGATCAATCCAACTGAATTACACCGATCCGATTTAAGTTGGATTAATTTGGTTATCATATAATAATGGATTGAATTGATTTAAAATTTTTATTAACCTATTAAATTAGATTAATTTAAAAAATATTAAAATCCAAACCAAACCATACCTCAAACCCCCTTCCTTGCAAGGGAGAACTATTAACAACGGAGGCTAAAAAAATATATTAATTATACACTTTATTTTTTTTGAACAATTGGTCATGGGAGAGGTTGAACCCACCCCAAGGGGAGGGGATGCACCTTTTATTGTGGCAGTTGCCACTAGGTTTAAAGGCCAGGTGCAATTATACACTTTATTTATATCTTAAAAATACAAAATTAAAAATAATATTCAATAAGATTATAAATGATATATAAGATATCTTATTGCATTACTAATCTTTTTCCTGAGGCCAGGGGTTGGCCCTTCTTCAGTCCGCCACTCAGACACGGTAACAGTAACAGCGGGAATATTCCTTCATCCACACCTAAAAATTTCATTATCAATTTTTTTATATGCAGTCGATTCCGAGG